CTCTGCTGCTCCCTCGGCAGACTCGGCAACATTGGCTGTGGGAGATCCAGCTTCTCCCCTCCTCGTATGGGCCTGGAAAAGGACAGAAAAAAAAAAAAAAAGCAGTCAACTAAAGTTGCAGTGTCACGTCCATTTTTGACTTTGACGTGCACTCACCCATTGTTAAAGAATTTATTGGGTTGATTGAGTCCATGAATTGGACTTGGAGGTAGATGGGGAAGGAGCTGGTGTTGGCTCATTCCAGGCAAACACCTGAAGGACAAAACAAGACATCAAATGACATGTTTGCACCACACAGCTTCCCCACCACCCAAATAAATAAATAAATAAATAAATAAAACACTAATGTACATCAGGTCTGAAATAAAACCATTGCGTTCCAATTTGAAGTGAACATTGTTTCGTGTGTGTATGCGTGATTAGAGAATCTGTTTGAGTTTGCGTTGGCACGGCAACGCACCTGCCAGGTGGCTGCCAGGCGCGGCCGCCCACGGGAGCCCAGGGTCCCCGGTTGAGTCCATCCAGAGAGAAGGAATCCCGTGTGCCACGCCCGACAAACTGCTCAACTGCGTGATGCATCCAGCCTGCGGACAGGAACCGAGACTCACTACAAAGCTCTGTTTGATTCCATGGCAACACACGCAACAAAAGACATCTCGATGTGGAAACATCCGTCCATCCTTTTTCTAATCCGTTTATCCTCACAAGGGTCGCGGGCGTGCTGGAGCCTATCCCGGGCATCTTCGGGCAGTAGGCGGGGCGCACCCTCAACTGGTTGCCAGCAATTCCCAGTGTGTGTGTGTGTGTGTGTGTGTGTGTAGATAGACAGATAGATAGATAGATGGAGAGAGAGAGAGAAAAATAAAATACTCACCAGACTAGCCGTGTCCGTGAAGCCCTCCACTGCAGCACAGAGAGGGCCTCACTCCAGTGCTTGAAATATCTCGACTGTCCCGTTCCTCTGTATTCAGCTGTGACAGGAGAGACAGGAGAGTGCATTTAATTTATTTTTTCACGTCCAAAGTCAGGTGATTCTTGTTCCCGGTAACTTTGCGTCAATATGAATTCAAGTAGCCTTTGGGTGAGTTGCGGCTGCACTGCCTCAGACGGCCAGTTGGGGGCATTAGCACAACAGTTCGAGGATTATTATCAGGGCCCAGATGGTTATTTTGTGGAAGGGAGGGGAGGGTCACTTACGAGGACATACCCTGGTTACTGTAATCCTTTCAAAGGCCTTGTGATGATAAAAGAAAAAAAAGACTTGCTGTGCCAAGTGTGTCTGTAAGGGTCTACAACGATGGAAGTGTTGCCAAGTGTGAGAAGTGGGCGACTGTCTGCATAAATTGCGTGCCTGGTGGATACACGGGGGTTTAATCTCATTACAGCAGCGTGATGGAGGAGGGGGAGGGGGGGTTAGGCGGGGTGCGCAGTGACAGACGGCCTGAACAGGACGGAAGGATAGATTAAGGAGAAATGCTGGAGGTGGAAGGAGTGAAGTGTCGGAACAGAGAAGACACCCACACATCTTCACAGTTGGCCCACGAAATATGGGCACGCAAGGGTGGGGCGGGGGGGGGGGGCAACAGGGGGA